TGCCTCCACAGCTTGCCTCCTCTCCCTCTCTCTTCTCCTCCAGAGGGAGTGTTTGCCTCCACAGCTCGCCTCCTCTCCATCTTGGATGTGCCCTGTACTTATCTTGTTGAACATGGTTTTCATGTGAAATTCAATGCTGTTCTTTCCACTTGACCAAGATTGCTACTACTCAGGAAATTCTTGATGTCGTCTCGTCCAGCTCCAAGTCTTTTGTTTGTTTCTCAGCTTGGAGGAGTCATAGTTTGCAAATTGTAAAATTTAGTCTTCCTTAACCCCTCAATTTCTCTTTTCCACAACTCAATTTTAGTCTCTCACTTTTGATCTCATCCTTTCTCATTCTCTTTCTGTGTATAGAAATTGTTTCTTATTTTATTATTTGACAAGCTTTTCTCCAACACCATGGATGAATAATTTATATTAAAAACAGTGTCTACCGGGGCTGGAGTTGGGGTAGCTCAATGGTAGAGTATTTGTCTGGATGCAATAAAGCACTGGTTTTGATCTCATAATAGAAAAAAAGACACATACTTTAAAAATAACAGTTTAATGACTTTATACATATACATGTGAGATTTCCCCTAGACATTAATTTAGTATGCATCACTTCATATACTTAATATTTTGTTGGATACACAGGAAACACTCAAGGTCTACTTTTTCAACAAGTTTCAAATGCAGAACACTGTCAGCGATAGTCACATTGTTTCTACAACCTTGGACAGCTTACGCTTTGTCCTCTTGACCATGATCTCCATCTCCTTTCCCCCAAGATCTGGTTGTAGGGAGCAGATGAAGTCCCGAGTAAACATGTATTATTGACATGGACTCAGATCCATGGGAGGGGCAAAGCCTTCCCCACATGAGGCTCAGAGGAATGGCAAAGCCTTTCTCTGCTCTGAGTGTTTATAAAGGATTAGCCCATTGGAGCAAAAACTAGCAACTGCAGCTTCCGCCTTCTGGATGACTGCAACTGGAGACTGCTTCCCTGCACCGACTAGCTAATGTCCCAACCTGTGTGGTACGGAATAAAATACGCTGAGTTTCCAGGTGTTTGCATCAGAGTCAGAACAGTCCAGCTGATCCCAGCTTTTCTGTTCATGTATCTGTGTGTCTGTCCTTTCTTCATTCCTGAGTTGACCCAGTCAGACTTCCAGGACCAAGACATGCAGGACAAGATGACCAGTGCAATCATTCTGCTCTGTTTATATGAGTGTAGCGTTTTCAGATTCTCTAAATAAGAACATGTATCATTTGTCTTTCTCATGTGGCTTATTTCACTTAGCTTTGTATTTTCCATGTTCATCCAAGTTGGTACAAATTGCAAGGTTTTCAAGGCTGATTGCTATTGTGTATAGGTACGGAGGTTGCTTCTTCATCTCAGCTATTATAAATAATTCAGAAATGAACATGGGAAGGCAGACATACTCTTGAGATCTTGACTTCAACATCCATGGGAATATAGCGGGAAGAGAGTTTGTTTGATATAAGATCATTTTTCATTTTTGAGAAATTTCAAAGCTATTTTCTCAGGCTGTTCAGTAGGGAAACAATAACCCTTTCAACAAATGGTTTTGGGAAATTGGTCATTCACATGTAGAAGAAAACCAAACCTTTATCTCACACCACATAGCAAAATCAAGCAGTAGTGAAACAAATACTTTAGTGTACAATGTGAAGTTCTAAAACTTCTAGAAGAAACAGTGAGGGAAATTCTGGACATTGGGATGAGAACCGATTGTTTGACAAGTACACTCAAAACATGGGCAGCAGAGACAAAGTTGGACAAATGAAACTGTAGATATCGCATGTCCCTGTCTCTGAGAATGTTCATACCCAGAGGTGGCACTTATTTCAGCTCAAATCAGTGACGTGAGAGGAGGAAGGCAGGTCACACACAACACAGTGACACTTTAGTGGAGAGAGGGGAACCAGATTCGTCCATGGAATAACAAACTCATCCGTCCATCATAACAAACCCTAATACAGAGACAGCAGATCACAGGAATAAGTTTTTGGCACAAAGGATGCATGGATAAGAAAGACAAGGAGATAAAAATCTTCCCCATCATCTCTGCATCCCACACAGCTAGTTCTGTACCCCTACTCCCCTCATTCAGGTCTCTGATGGACACAAAAGTCATTTCTGTGGTTGATAACACAGTACAGGCATTTGGTATTAAAAACAAAGATATTTTCCTAATAGGCTTCTATTTTCTTTGGCAAAACATGGAACTAAAATTATCACATAAAGTTGCTTTCAACATGGAGTTGATAAAACATGCTTAAAATGCATCACACCATGAGGTACAGAAGGAAGGTAGCAAGAACATACTCCACTTTACCATTGGACAATGGATTGCTTAAAGATGAGATATTCTAGTCCCTTTGAGAAACCCTATTCATGGAGGATTTGTACTTGCTGGTGCCTGAGTGTGCTAGCATGCAGATCACATCCACTGTATAAACAGCCTCAGTGGAGCAGAGGGCTCCCCCATGCCCAGCCTCCTGCTTTATTGTCCTCCAGGCTTTTATTTAAGAGTTCGCGAGCTTCCCCAGATGTAGGTGAGGTGCACAGCTGTATGGAGCAGGACACTGGGACTGGAACTCTTGGAGAAGGGCTTTTATATCAATGGAGTCTTCACTCTCATCTCTATTCTTCCTGTCACTACCCGAGGACATTTAATTGCTATCTCTCCTGGGCCTGCAACTTCTGTTGTCTGTAGTTCTTTTGATAACCTTGAAAGAGAGATTTTTCTACTTTATTGATCTAACCCTAAAGGTCAGACAAGTAAAGATGCAATTCATATCACAGAATTGGCAAGTGGCAAAGATCTTACCGACACCTGACTGTACAGATGGTCCCTATTCTAGGCATGCTTGACTTCCTTGGGGATGTTGGGCTGATATTAGGGACACGGAAAACCATGCAACCATGGGATTACTGATGGGAGAGAGGAACCATGTTGGTCCTTTTAATGTTCCCTATCTGTGTACTTATTTTATATACAATTTCATCTTTTTGAGGCAAGTTCCCATTTCCCTTTACAGGCACACAGGCTATGAGTGTAGCCCCAAACAACACCGCAAGCTCCTACCCAATTTCCTGTCCTGGTATTTTTTCGAGGAATTACGGCTCAGCTCTCACGTCTCCCATTAGTACTTAACACTTCGTTGACTTTTCTTCAGATGCATCGGGAGGCACGTGTCCAAACTAAACACTATTTTATCATTTCCTGCCTCTTATTTTAAGTTCTCTTTGTTCTTTACTCTCCGTGGAGCCGGCAACGTATTCCAATTAATGCACTACAAATCTTGGCTGTTGGCTGCTAACCACACATTCATGTATGTCACTAGACAACAAGCCCATGGCACTCAATTCCACTCTAATCATAGAGATTAGAGTTCTGTCGCAGATGATGCTTGGAACGGACCACTGAAGATCACATCCGACCTTCAACTTGCATTCCTAATTCACCAACCACACAAGCTCCCCAGTCCAATAGGCAGAGCATAGTTCTCCATCACTCAGATATAAGGCAACGAAGGCCAGCAAGGATGTGAGGCTTGCCCAGGCTTATGCCACGATATAACCGTGAGCAACTTTAAAAGCATTTGTGTTACACCTGGAAATATCAAAAGGGTTCATGCTTCAAATGTACCTTATATAAAAGTGGTTGGAATTTTTGCTGTTGTTAAGCTGGACTATGTTGGCATAAGAACAGCGTTCAGGTTTTCTTAAGTGAGTTCTCACTTTGGAGTTGCTCCAGGTAGGATGCTGACAGGGATGAACTGTTTTCAGCGCCTGGGACTTCCTGCTCCCTCTGGAAGGTTTAGAGCAGTGATTCTTAACCTTCCTAATGCTGCGACCCTTCTCTACAGTTCTTCATGTTGTGGGGGACCACCAGCTATAAAATTCTTTTCTTTTTTTTAAATGTCATCAAAGTAAAAACTTTAATGCAGTAAAGAATATCAACAGAACAAAGAGCCCCTACAGAATGATAGAAAACACTGTCATATAATACAAATCATGAGGGATTAATATCTGAAGTGTAAAAGAACTATATATAACTCTACAACAAGATCAAGCACCTCAATGTTAAAATGGCCTAGAGACTGAAGAATCATTCACGTGCCAATGTGAGCCACACGCGGAAAATATCACACTATTAAATCCTCTACCAAAATACTTTATACAGCTGTTTCCCTGGATCTGGGGAGACGGCTTTCTGGTTAAGAGCATCTGCTGCTCTTGCAAAGGACGGGGAAGAGGGTGTTTCACTTCCAAGCACCCAGAGGTGGCACACAGCTTTCTGTAACTCCAGCTTCAAGAGATCTGCTGCCTTCTTCTGGAATCTGAGGACACATGCATGCATGTGAGGTAGTACACACATGCATGGAGGTAACTTATATGCATAAAATCAATAAACACTTTAAAATGATTTTCTTGTGGACCTTAGCATACTTGGAAAAGTTAATAAATTTTGTTTAAACTTATATTCCATCTTTAATATATTCCTTATGGATATGCAAATGTTTCAGACTCCATAAACACAGTAAATCTAAAGTAGTTCTGACCTTACATATTTTAGATACAAAATACAAAGCTGTATTTAGAACTCTGGGCGGGGAGTATAAACACACCCATTAATAAGTACCATTGAATAACAACATTCCTAAGAAATGTCCTTTTTTATTGTATTTATTGAGCTATATATTTTTCTCCTCTCCCCTTCTACCCTCTCCCATGGTCCCCATGCTCCCAATTTACTCAGAAGATCTTGTCTTTTTCTATTTCCCATGTACATTAAATCCATGTTTGGCTCTCTGAGGGTCCTCTTTGTTGTCTAGGTTCTCTGGGATGGGGAATTGTAGGCTGGTTTTCTTTGCTTTATGTCTAAAAACCACTTATGATTGAGTACATATGATATTTGTCTTTCTGAGTCTGGGCTACCTCACTCAATATGATGTTTTCTAGATCTATCCATTTGCCTGTAAATTTCTTTTTTTTTTTTTCACAGGACACAGGCATTTTATTGAATCCAGGCCCAGCCCGGGCGATACCTCTACAGCTCAGAATGAAGGGCTCAGGGAAGGCACAGGTTAGAAAACTGCTTTAATGGAAACTTCCCAACATACCATCTGGGACAGGGTGGAATGTAGCCAGGGCTGGCCCTGGGACAATACTGAGCCTGTAGTTGTTACCAAAATATATATCTGTCACCATAAAAAACTGCTGCACTGCCTCAGCCCCACACAGGTATAAAAATCATAAATATGTACACTCTTGCCACTCCTTCACAGAACCAAGGTCCAGGGAACCCCTCCCCTAGAGACAGGCTAGGCACGACATGGGCGTATCGCGAGGGGCATTAAGGCCTGGAGGTCAGCCCCTCACCTGGGCCTAGTCAGAGGCAGGCAAAAAAACAACTTTGGTCCAAAATTTGAAGGTAGGAGCCCAATGGTCTCAGGGCTGTTTTCCCCAGGCAGGGGCAGCACTGGCCTGGGCCCTACCCGGAAGTTGGTCACCAGGAAGGAGGGGATGAGCACAGGGACACAGAAGCTTAAAGAGTACACACATACCACTGTATCATCGCTATAAAAAGTTACTTAAAACTCTATCTCTTATAAATGGAAAAAGATCTGGGTATTTGGTCAAGTGGAAATATTGCTAGGCACAGGTGTCTGTGACCACAGAGAACAGAATACAAAGGTCACATGAGGCTAGGCAGCTGAGGATGGCCTGGCCTCCTGGGCAGGCCAGGGACATGGGAGAATCATGTCACTTGATTATAAGGGGTGGGGGCGGTGGCCACGGTTCCTGCACGGCATAGGGGCCTGTAGTGCAGGCCTCGGCTCACCGGCAGGTCTAGCGACAGACTTGGTGGCTTGAGAGGGTGAGTGTGTGGCCGCAAGTGGGCTGGTTTTGTAAGGCACGAGAAAGCGGCTGTGTTTGGGGGCACCGCTGTGGCCTCACGCCTGAGCTCCTCAAGGCATGGTGCCGGGCCTGACTGGGCCTCTGTGGCCTAAGCCATTTACCGCCACAGCAAAGTAGACTAGATTTAATTTTTTTAAAAACAGGTAAACTGATCTCTTTAAAAAAATAAAATCTCTGGTCTGTAAGGTCACTTCAGCTGCTTTTAAAGTGGCTTTTTCTGGAATGGTGGAAGCTGTCGCAGGCCCACGTGCATCTAGATGGTAGATTTTGAGAAGGACACACGCAGATGGTGGTTCTCGCCCAGATCATGGTTGTGCAGCTCAATCAGCGCCTGCACTGCCTCCTCCACGGAGCCCATCTGGATCAGTGCCATCTTGCGGTCCTTCTGGAAGAACTTGAAGCCTTTGACCACACCACCGTTGCTGGAGAAGAGGTTCTTGAGGTCATCCTCTGACACAGAGGGCGGGATATTAGAAAGGTGCAGAGTGGCTGAAGGTGGGAAGATGTTCTGGAAGTTCTTGGAGCCCGGCTTCTTGAAGCGATGCAGAGGTGAGCTACCATAGTCCTTGGTCAGGCCCTGGTCCTCCTGTCCCTCACGAGGCAGCTGCACACTCTGATGCTTTGACAGTGTGATGCACACTGATTTCCCATGCAGCTTGTGCCCATTCAGGTGGCTCATGGCCAGCTGGGCCTGGCTGCCATCGGCCATCTGTACAAGTGCATTCTCCTTCTTGTTGAACAGAATCTTCACCCGCTGCACATCACCATAGACGCCGAAGAGAATAAAGAGGCTTTGGGGTGTGACTCTCTCAGGGTTCAGGTTGCTGACCAAAAGGACAGAATTCCCTGCACCTGCCAGGCCTGGGATGGCGATGCGGCCAGCGGCAGCAGCGGCAGCAGCAGAAGGTATGGCTAGGGGGGCCAGCGCTCCGTGGACATTAGGAACAGAGAGACCAAAGGCTGCCGCCATGGTCTGGTCCAGAGAAGGCTGGCTGTCCCCAGAAGGCAAGTCGGGCCGAGTATAATCTCTGCTCTTGTCATTGTTGTACTTGACATTGAGACTGGTGAGCTTGGAGAAGTCAATGCGCAGCGTGCAGCAGGCGTTGTAGATGTTCTGGCCATCCAGCGACAGCTTAGCGTGCTGGGCGCTCACAGGGTCAGCATATTGCAGCAGCGCCTGGAACTGGTTGTTCTTGGTGAATGTGATGATCTTCAGGACTGTACCAAACTTAGAGAAGATCTGGTGCAGCACGTCCAGGGTCACTGGGTAGAAGAGGTTTTCCACAATGATCCTGAGCACTGGGCTCTGGCCTGCCATTGCCATTCCAGCATCCACGGCAGCAGCAGAGGCTGCCAAGGCCAGATTTCCAGACTGCACAGAGTTCACGGCCTGCAGGGCTGCCTGGGCACGCGCCTGGTTGGGCGAGCTGTCAGTTTTGAGCTCCTTGTGGTTAGAGAACTGGATGTAGATGGGCTGTCCCCGCAGCACGGGTGCCACTGAGGTGTAATAGTTGACCATGGTATTGGCAGCCTCCTCCGTGTTCATTTCAATGAAGGCCTGGTTCTTCCCCTTCAGCATAAGGAGGTTGGTAACCTTCCCAAAGGGCAGCCCCAGGGAGATGACCTCGCCCTCAGTGACATCACTAGGTAGCTTGCGGACATGGATGACTCTGGATGGAACCCCCGTGCTCCTGTTGTCGCCTTTGAACTTCTTGCTATCATTTCCATTGGCTGCTGAAGTCGAGCTGTTCATGATGAAGGGGCCGTTGCTGACACACGTGGAGAAGAGCTCGTCGGATCCCCGCTTTGTACCGACTGCTATGTCTGGGACGATGCCGTCCATGGCACACGGAGCAGACCTGCGGGGGACGGAGCGGAGGCGCAGGAATAGCCTTGCCTGTAAATTTCAAGATGTCATTATTTTTTTCTGCTGTGTAGTACTCCATTGTATAAATGTACCATATTTTCCTTATCCATTCTTTGGTCAAGGGGCATTTAGGTTGTTTCCAGGTTCTGGCTATGATAAATAATGCTTCTGTGAACATAGTTGAGCATATGTCCTTGTGGTACAATTGAGCATCTTTTTTTTTTTTTTTTTTTTTTTACAGTTTACCTGATGGATTACGTTGACAGATTTTTTGTATGTTGAACTGTCCCTGCATCTTTAGGATGAAGCTGACTTGATCATGGAGGATGATTTTTTTGATGTGTTCTTGGATTTGGTTTGCCACTATTTTAGAGTATTTTTGTATTGTGTGTTCACGAGTGAGATTGGTCTGTAATTCTCTTTCTTAGTAATGTCTTTGTGTGGTTTCTTCCTTGACCCATTGATGATTCAGGTGAGCATTGTTTAATTTTCATGTAATTGTGGGCTTTCTGAAATTAGTGTTGTTGAATTCTAATTTAAAGCCCTGGTGATCCAATAAGATACATGGGGTTATTCCCATTTTTTTTTTTTGTGTGTGTGTCTGTGCTGGAGGTTTGCTTTGTTACCTAGTATATGGTCAATTCTTGAGAAGGTTCAATGAGGTGCTGAGAAGAAGGTATATTCTTTTATGTTTGGATGGAATGTTCTATAGATGTCAAGTCCATTTGAATCATAACAACTGCTAGTTCCCTTTTTTATCTGTTAATTTTCCATCTGACAGACCTGTCCAGTGGCGAGAGTGGGGTTTCATATGTGATTTAAGCTTTACTGTTGTTTCTTTTACATATGAGGGTGCCCTTGTATTTGGGGCATAGATGTTCATTATTGAGATTTCTTCTTGATGGATTTTTCCTGTGACTAATATGAAATATCCTTCTTTGTATCTTTTGACTGATTTTAGCTTGAAGTCTATTTTATTAGATATTGGGATAGCTTAGGTCTATTTGATTGAATTTTTTTTTCTATTCCTTTACTCTGAAGCGATGTCTGTCTTTGAGGTTGAGGTGTGTTTCTTGTATGCAGGAAAAGGATGGATTCTGTTTTCGTATCCAATCTACTAACTTGTGTCTTTTTATAGGTGAGTTGAGTCCATTTATATTAAGGGATATTAATGACCAGTGATTGTTAGTTCCTGTTATTTTAGTTTTTGTTGTTTGTAATGTTATTGTGTCTATTTTTCTCCTTTTTGAAATTTGCTACTGTGAGATTATTATTGTCTGTGTTTTTGTGGATGTAGCTAACTTCCTTGGGTTAGAGTTTTCCTTCTAGTACTTTGTGTAGGGCTGGGGTTGTGGCTAGGTATTGTTTAAATCTGGTTCTGTCATGGAATATCTTTGTTTCTCTGTCTACAGTGATTGAAAATTTTGATGGGTATGATAGTCTGCACTGTCATCTGTGGTCTCTTAATGTCTACATAACGCTTGACCAGGACCTTCTGGCTTTCACCATTTCCATTGAGAAGTGAGGTATAATTCTGATAGGCCTGCCTTTATATGTTACTTGGCCTTCTTCCTTTGCGGCTCTTAATGCTTTTCCTTTATTCTGTATGTTTAGTGTTTTGATTATTATGTGGTGAGGGGACTTTTTGCTTTGTTTCCATCTATTTGGTGTTCTGTGAGTTTCTTGTATATGCATATCTTTCTTTAGGTTGGGAAAGTTTTCTTCTATGATTTTGTTAAATATATTTTCTGTGCTTTTGAGGTGAATTTCTCCTTCTTCTATTCCTATTATTCTTAGGTTTAGTCTTTTTATGGTGTTCCATATTTCCTGGATATGTTGTGTTAAACTTTTGTTAGAGTTAATGTTTTCTTTGAGATGTGAATCTATTTCCTCTATTGTATCTTCAGCGCTTGAGATTCTCTCTTCCATTTCTTGTATTCTGCTGTTTATGCTTGCATTTGTGGTTCCTGACAATTTTTTCATAATTTCTGTTTCTATAAATCCTTCAGTTTGTGTTTTCTTTATTGTCTCTATTTCAGTTTTCAAGTCTTGAATTGTTTCTTTCATCTGATTGTTTTTTTCTTTAAGGAATTTGTTGATTTCTTCCAATTTTTTTGTTTGTCTTTTCCTCCATTTCTTTGAGGGAATTTTTCATTTCTTCTTTAAGGACCTCAAACATTCTCCTAAAGTTATATTTTAGGCCATTTTCTTCTGCTTCATCTACATTTGGGTATTCAAGTCTTGCTGCTGTAGGACCACTAGTTTTTGTTGCCGTTGTATTGGTCTTTATGGTGTTGGGTGTACTCTTATCTTTACTGCCCATTTTGTCCTCTGATTGGTGTAGTTGGGTCTGTGTCTCTGGTGGTCAGTCTTCCAGGTGCCAGTGGAGGCAGGCACAGATGGTTGCTCCTTGTGGTGCAGTCATGTTCATGTGGTTCCAGTACCCTGGGCGGTTACTTGGTATTCCCAGGGTTTACTCAGGGCTCCTGTGCATTGCTATGCAATCCTGGGGGTTGTTTGGGCCTGCCCCCATGGAGATTGCTTGCTTAGGGCTGCTCCAGCTGAGGTCGCTGCCTTGGGCTTGCTCTGATGGAGGTCACTGATTTGTGCCTGGTCCCACAGAGGTCTCTGACTCAGTTCTGCTCCCTCTGCGGTTGCTCCCTTGTACCTACTCCTATGCAGATTGTTGCCTCAGGCCTGCTCCAGCAGAGGTCACTGGCTCAAGTCTGTTCCCATGGAGGTTGCCGCCTCGTGCCTGCTCCAGTTGAGGTTGCTTGCTCAGGCCTGCTCTGGCAGAGGTGGTTGTCTCAGGCCTATTCCCACAGATGTCCCTGGCTTGAGTCACTGACCTGGCTTGGGCCTGCTCCCATAGAGGTCCCTGTTTTGGGCCCAGTCCTATAGAGATCTCTGGCTTGGGCCTGCTCCCTAGGTGGTCAGTCCCTCATACCTGCTCCTGTGGAGGTTGCTGTCTAGGGCCTGCTCTGGTGTAGGTCACTGCCTCAAGTCTGCTCCTGTGGAGGTCTCTGCCTTGTGCCTGCTCTGGCCTATTCTCACAGATATCCCTGGCTTGGGTCCAGTCCTGCAGAGGTCTCTGACTTGGGCCTTCCATAAAGTTATTTTCATTGCTACTGCATAACTGTAATTTTGATACTGCCGTGAATCATAATGTAAATACCTGATAGGCAGGATAGCTGATCTGCTACCCCTTTGAAAGTGTCATTCAACGCCACAGGGGTCATGACCTACAGGTTGAGAAACATTGGTTTGTCATCTTCTGCTGCTGTTACCTTCCCTACCCTCCAATCCTACCTCTTGGGTCCTGACTGAAATTCCAATCTCTTGATTCTCTTCAGTTTGTCAATTGACTGTAAGGGTGGGTCCCTTGTCTCTAAAGTAGAAGGCCTATCTTTTGATAACTTCTGTCTTCAGGGTCCTACAGCAGGGAGCAAAGCTTTTCTTTCTCTATCAGAGTGGAGATTCAGGAGTGCCCAAGACAGGAGATGCCTTGCTGTAACTTATCCCTTAGCTGACCTTTGGCTGCTTTTAAGGAAAACGAAGGAGAGGAAGGAGGGGCCTCTGAGTGGGCTGACACAGAAGGGTTAGGCCTAGATGGACACGGGGGAAAGATCTGGCACACAGCCTAGAGTCATCCCAACTTTAGAGACTAGGAAAATCAGGAAGGCTGAGGCCGTGTGGGTAGCTGGTTGGGGAGAAAGGCGGAGAAAGTGGTGTGGAAAATCCCTGTAAGGAACGGATATTTAAGAAACAGAGTGGTCAACATGGGCAAATACTTTTGAAAAGTTGAGTAAGATGGAGATGCTGAAGTGGCCTTTGGACTGGACACAGCAGGATGTTCACAGCCCTGAAGTAGCATGCAGATAAAGCAGGCTGGTGGAGCAGGCAGAGGCAAGGATGGGCGGCTGGAAGTGCAGCCGCCACCACAGAAGGCGTTTTACAGGAGGAAGCTGTGCTGTGAAGGAGCGGAGGAAAGAGACTGCGGCTGGGAGGAACGTAATGTCAAAAGATTCTTCTTTTGGTTTTAAAAGGAAGATGCGCCTGTCAGGTCATGGAAATGATCCAAGAGAGAGGAAAATTTTCATTATGCAGGCGAGACAAGGGCTCTTAGGAAGAAAGTTCATGGGAAGGACAAGGAGATGGTTTTCAGGTCGCCGCCAGGAGACTGACCTCTAGTGGAGTGAGAACGTGTTGGAGTTTACATGTAGAATGGTTCCCACAGGCTCGTCGTGTGTTTGAACACTTGGATTCCAGCTGGTGGGACCTTCTTTTGGGAGGCAGAACAGTGGGGAAGTGGGGCCTAGCTGGAGGAGGTGCCATCCTCGTAGTAGGGGCCTTGAGGTCTGGCCCTGCTTCTTGCCTCTTTCTGCTGCTTGGTTCACCCAGATGTGAGCAAGAAACCTTGTGTCTCTGCTACCATGGCTATGAGAAGCTTCCGCTGCAGTGCCAGACTGTACTCTCAAGCCACGAGCTAAAATAAACGATTTTTTTTCTCTTGAGCTAATTCTTGGTGACTATTTGGTCATATCATCCAGAGAGATAACCAATACACATCTGTTTGTGGATCCTTGCTGTGCATAATAAGACCTTATACACATACCCGGTGTTGGTAAGTATTTGACATTATCATCTTATGTCAGGCTCTTTCAATAACAAAGAAAACAATTGCTGGATAGATTAATTCATTGCTCAAAATTTAGCCTTGAATGCACTGGTAGCTGACATAGCTTGACCAGAGAGGAACACGATTCAATAACAATCGCCCTTGTCCCTCCAGCCCTACTCGGGTGACATATACTCCTTATGGATATGGATATGTCATGCTATGGATGTCATATGCTTGAAAAATAGGACGACCCTAGTGATGAGTGGCCACCGACACGGCTGTCTATAAGTACACTTGTCATTTCCTTCTTCCCTTGACTGTTGCTGATACTATTCTTCAGAACTCAGGAGAGTGGCAGCTGGGAGCACGGTTATGGGGAAAACTGCAACCTCAAGAAT